CTCGAACAGTTCTGGACGTTCGCTCGCGCCGCGGAGGCTTTGTTCACGGACTCTGTGGGCTACCAGATGGGCTTCGCTCGTTGCTCTAAGATCCCGCGGGAGAGGTCGGCCACCTCTATCGCGCAGTTCCAACGCGATCTGGCTATTCGGGCCTTGGCGGCTCCTGTCCTGGCACCGGCATCAAAGAAGAAGCCGAGCGCTCAGGTTGACGACTCCACCAACACGCCGTTGCTCAACATGGAGAATGCCGAGAAGCAGCGTTGGGCCAAGCGGCTTCGGGCGATCGCCGAGCGTGCCGGTGCCCACGCTGACCCCGATCGGAGTGCCAGCTCGGACGGGATCCTTTCGGACGAGGAGAAGGCTAGGCTACAGCTGCTGGTGTTCACCTCTGGTGCTCCCTTGACCATGGCGAATTATATTCGGTGTTTTGAGAAGTTGGAGCGCTGGGCGCAGCGGATGGGGATCGACTTCTATCCGCTCTCCNNACAAGATCCTCAAGTACGCGATCGACCTAGACTCCAGAGAGTGCGGTCCTACGGTCTTACCTTCTCTGCGGATGGCGATTCGATGGGTTGCCTTTCGCATCAATCTTGAGCTTCCTTCGATCGACACCCAGGCTCTGAAAGCGCTCGAGAAGAACGTCTTCACGCAGAGGGGGAAGCCGCTGAAGGAAGCGATCCCTTTCGAGATCCCTCTGGTGATCGCCATGGAAAAGTTCGTTTGCAGCGACCTCCACCCCAAACCGGCTCGGATTTTCATATGGTGGGTCCTGTGCATGATCTTTGCATCTCTCCGGTTCGACGACGCCATCCACGTAAAGCCCCACGAGCTCGAGGTTAAGTCGGAAGGCCTGTTCGGAGTCTCCTGGCAAACAAAGACAGAGAGAAAACGTCGCGGTACCAAGTTCGTGGTCCCGGACGTTGCGTTCTCTAAGTTTCCATGGTTCAAAGAGGGCCTCGAGATGTTCGAAATGGAGTTCCCGCTCGTCGAACGGGATTTTTGGATCCCGGAGTTGGATTCGAAGAGCTCTTGGAGGCCAACGCCCCCAGAATACGCTCGGTCTCTCCAGTGGCTCCACCACCTGGTCTTCGTGGCAGGTAAAGAGGACGAGGTCGCACAGCCCATTCTGAGCAATATCACCGACCTCTCGTGGCACTCCGCGCGGGTGACTATGCTTGATCAGGCGGTCCACTTCGATCGGAGTGCCCAAGAGATCGGTGTGCAGGCGAACTGGAAGAACCCCGGCCCACTGGTTCTCAAGTACACGCGCTCGCGCAGCTCTCTGCCGGCAAAGATGATCAAAGAGCTCGTGCAGGAGATCTCGCGCGAGTTCACGCCTGAATGTGCTCAAGAAGATGATGAGATCGACGACCACGAAGACCGCGACGTCACCCTCACTGAGTTCTTCGTGAAAGCTCCTGAGAAAGGATCTAGCTACGATTATAAGTTTCATGTTTGCTCTTGTGACTCGGTAGAGGAGATCGCTTGCAAACGGGCGATCACCCCCGAGTTCGTGCACATTGGGTCGGTTCTCCCCGATCCCAACTTACTTTGCAAGCTCTGTGCTCGCGCTCG